TGTCCACATTAAACCTACATTAGCAAATATAAAACTCACCTCCCAAGCAAGTAGCACTGCAGGGTGTATACCCAGCCTCCTTCCATGAGAAGGTGGTTTGCACATCGCTTCCTGGAGCCACCTTAATTCCAGCATCGTAGCCACTTCCGCTGGAGCTACCCGCGGAGGATCTGTAGGTGTCCGTCAAGCTGGGTTCGGCGTATCCGCTGTCGCCCACTGTGTCGATGCCATAAGTTAAACTGTTCTCTATAACGCTGCAAGGTCCCATCACGCACTTCTCCGTCTCAATAGGCTTTGGTCCCGAGCATTGTCGATCTGGTAGATCAGCGATGGTTCGACTGAATTCGAGGAATATTTTACAACGGACTTCTCGCCGTCTGATGCCTTCGCCGCAGGAGACACTGCACGGTGACCATTCCTCTGCGATGAACCTGAAGGGTCGTTTGTTCGATGATTCGTTCGGGTTGAAATGACTGCTTTTTTATGGGTGACTCGCGGTTTTGGGTTCTCTAGGATACTTCTTTTGTGTCGTTAGTGTGACCAATTCGCAGCCATTTGCAGAAAGGAATGGAAAAAGATGGAGTACTGGTTCAAATGACTCTAGACCTAGTTTAGGTAAAATCGACTGTTCTTTTTTTGAAAGAGCTGTTCTTTTTAAAGGTAACAAAGAAGTACATCTAACAAGTAAAAGCTTCTATCTTCCATGTCCAATTATATATTAGTGTTTCACGTGTTTCATTTTTGATCAAATAAGTGTGTCAATTCTGTCACTATGTCGAAATCGTTAATTCGGTTTAAGTCTAGTATTCTTTTATTTTGTCAATTAGATAATAATTACATAATAGTTAGATAATAGTTAGATAATAACTTCCAATTGTTTATGAACTTAATATCAATTTTACTAACCAAAAATTTTTGTAACCAGAAACAGAAGTAACGTCGCAAAAGTATAATGGATATCGAGTAAAACCGTACGTTTCATTTATCTCTTCTCGTTTATTCAACGCGATCCAATCGGACCCATTGAAGCTTATTCACGAGTGTCTATACTTGTTCAAACATCAATGACTTTCTTGCTGACAACGTTTTCAATTGACTTTCATCTAACGGGTCGCTTTGATCTATTTCGATTGTGCGCGTTCCGGTTCGATTAAATTGTGAACACAGCTCGTACGTTACACGCTCACAATAATTTTCGATTTTTCCGCACGAATAAAGTTCACCTTCTTTTTTTCTATACTTTTATTCATAACGTATCCGAAAATTGTGAGGAATTCCTCTCACGAGCTAGCGAGAGAGTGAAAGGATAGTTTTATGCTTTTCTCTAAATTATTCATGCTGAGCCTACGGGGATAAAAACGGAATAAAACAGAACCAAAAAGGAAGACATCGTGGAAAGAGGATGATACTCTACGCAGTATCATCGTCGTAATTCTACGCCTGTTCTACGGCATTCGTATTATGCGCTAATTAAATAACATGGTAAATCTTTTAATCTCCGTAAATTGTATTAGTAGCAAGAGGCAGGATAAAACTTTGTAAAAAAGTGGGAAGATTAAGCTTGTGGAATTTAAGTGAAAAAGATATTCGGGTGGGGAAACGTCAGTAGAAAATTGTACTGTGATCGCGTTTACCATGAAAAAAACATAAATTTCATTTTGTGTTCAAACGAATGCAAAAATGCATGATTTCATGCTGGAGTAGCGAAAAATTTCTGGACATGCTAATTGCTTCGATACGTGGTAATTTCTGTTTGTAGTTATTTCGAGATGTGATAGTTTCGACATGTGACAATTTTGGCGTGTGACGATGTGTGATAATTTTAGTGAGTGATAGCTTCGAGACGTACTAAGTTCGAACAAGTAGTACACATGGTAATACAGATAATACTTGTGATAGTTTTGATAATACATAGTAATAAAATTCGTGGTACTGAATGGTCATAAGCATGGACACAATCAGTATGCATGAAAGTGCTCGACAAGATGGCGACCTAATGAAAGCCTAATGTCCCTTTTCTTTGCCAACATATTGTATTTAATTTTGACAACACGCGAAAGTAATGAGGTCCCTAAACACGAAGCGTCCTATTTATTCGACGCTAATGGACGAGATCAAATGGTTGTAAAACTCGCAGAAAAAAGAAAAAAAAAGTCGTTGAACTTCTCGGTGATTAAGAAGAGCATGCGAGGAATCTTGGAAACGGGCACACACGGTTATCAAGAGCAAGAGAGAGAGAAACGGTGGTCAACGAAATGGAAGTCAGAGAAAAATTCAGCATGGAAGAAGGATAAACGTTGGTGTGCTGTGTCCTAAAGCAAGAAACGTTGGTAGCTCTTGGGAGCAGCATTAGATGGGTCGCGGAGGTTGTTAAGATAGAGCAAGAAAGAAGTAAAGAAGAGAATAAGAGAAACTAGAGCGAGACAGGGAAGAAGAAGAAAAATAAAGGGAAGATAGAGAGAGTAGAAGAGTTAAAGTGATAGAGAGTAGAAAGAGACACAGTAATGGGATACCTCAGATACAACCAGCCACAGGCAAAGTAGATCGTATATCTGTCGGGACAGACCAATTGACGTCAAGAAATGAATGCTCTTAAGACGAAACATTTTCTATCTAGTTTTGTTATTTCGTTAAAGGGGGTAAGGGTGCAACGAGAAGCTCTACGACACGTTCGTGTGTAAATCACGTAGTACGGAACATCTATAACCGATTTAGTGTGTCGCATGTGTGAGTGCGTTTATCAATTTTTTTTCCAAAGTACTCACGTGGATTCCGAGGGTATCGGTTGGTCGATCAATTTCGCCGACATGGGAGGAGGAGGATACGGCTGCATCAACGGCTGCGTCATTTCCTCTCCATCTGAAAGAAAATTTTCTCTCCTTGGCCACAGGATCCTGTTCGATATACGCGTCGGCCATCGATTCGCCTCGCACGCGAGAAATCGAACAACAGCTTTCTAGTGCTGAATCGGTGCCAGGCTCGAATAACAACGACCGGTGCATGGGAATGTAACTTATAAAACTTACATATTGGACAGGGGATGTTTGTTTTGCACTCCTGCTCGGTGTGCGGTCGTTCAGCTGGATCGCAATCCTTTGAGATGGAACCAACGGCGTCCCTGCACTCGATTGTCCTCGTTCTGACTCCGCTACCACAGGTCACAGAACACTATCGATCATACGGGAGAAAAATAAATTCTGACTCCGAATCGTTTTTAAATATTACATCGAATCATTGATTTTTAAACGGAGAAATTCTGGAGTGATTTCACGTAAAGGCAAACTTGTCTTATATTTATTTCAATAAATTCTCCATCTCTTTCCTTTATGGAAACAATGTTTGATATTTTCACTACAAAATGGCTATCATTTGTAATAGTCATTCAGAAATACACTAAAGTCAGAATGGCAAGTAATCCAAAATACTTGCATCGATTTACAACTCAAAGTTTGTAAATGTTCTCTACACAAAATGGCTGACTGTCATAGTAAACAATGACCGATTTGCAAACATACAAAAAAAGTATGACATAAAAATTCCACAAACTGGCGCTTATAATACATCAATTTAAAGCTTAAAGTTTCATTAAAATGATTACGTGAACGTTTCAAGAATGTTGACACAAAATGGCGGCTGGTCAGTTAGCTAACGATGGTCAATTTAGAAGCGTGTACAATTATTTTATATTTAGAAACATTTTATAGCAACAATATTAATTTACTCACATATCTTCGTAAAACTTTAAGCTTTAAATTGATATACTATAAATGTAATTTTATAGCCCTTTAATGTCATTAAATTTTATTAGATATACTTCAAATCGTAAGAAAAATAACTTCATATTTCTGAAATAAATGTTTATTATATTATAATTTTCGTATAGATTAAACCTAAACTAATTATTTGATGCAAATAAATGTTACCCTTACATGAAACACGTGAACAAAAAAGTTCCTCAAGTAAAACTCGATTAACTTATATCATGATGTTAGTATCATTTCTTTCGTTGCACAATATGCAGTGGTTCGATAAGACCTCGATTAATTAAAGTCAGCATGATCTCGTGCGAACTAAAAGCACGAAATAGGGAACGACTATCAAGTCTGAACAGTACTTCGGAGAATATGGAATGAAGTATGTATGTCGAAATTGAAGCAACATCCATGCAAACGCGAAGTTTCATTCCGCGTTCAGCTTCATTTTCGGCCTTTTATTTCGCCAAATGTGAACAGCTTTAGTTGGAACACGCTTTTCATGGCAAGAAGGGAATACGGGGCGAGATAATACCCCTGGTGCAGGATAAAGTCCATAGAAATAGGGGAAACGAGAAAACGCGAAGGAAAGGCAAAGCGAAGGAACAATAAAGTTTCGCGACGCTACTGTGGAATCTAATTTCGTATACTAACTGGTATTTGCAAGGTTTCGTATTAGCGTTCAAAAGATTTATAAGATTCCTCCAGAATGGCTTAAGGGGACAAACTTTGGAACTTTCAATTTCTGAATTTTTACGTATTAGGTCTATCGGAAAGTTCGGTCGCCTCGAGTACAAATAATTTCTCAAAAATCCACAAATTACTTTTTAGGTAGAGAATGATCCAACAATAAGAATTATATTGCTCGGAAATGAAAAATTTTCTTTCAATTAAAAAACTGGAACTTTAAATGTAATCTCACATGGTGCGTGTAACTTGAATTTTGTAATTAATTCCTAAAAAAGAGGAAAATAATTAGGAACTGTTGAAGCATCCGAAAGAATAATTTAACAATTAACACAGACTGCAGTGTCAACCACGACACGTGTACTTTCAATTCGAGGGAAGCATTGCCTTTTCAGAGGCGAGCCTCCATAGAATACATTATCACGGTCTGAAAAAGAAAAGCCAACCCTCAAAGGTACGTTGCAAAACATTTTTCAAGCTTCAAGAAGCGACTTTCCTGCTTCATTATCTGTCGAATGTGTGTGTCTCACGTACAGGCCGCGTGACATGCAGAAATATCGAACAAATTTCCTCTCAGCGTGTTGTAAATCCGGAAACAGAGCACAGAGACTGACCTCTTTGCTTCCTGTCACGGAAGACATGAAGTAATTACTTCCGTTGATCGCTTCTGACGTCGAGACTCTTCTTTTCTAGCCTTTTTATTACCCTTTTACTACGGTGGGACGCGTTAATACAAAGGTAACGGAATAAAAAGCAATCGAATGTGTGTACAAGCTGGAACAAATCGGAATTCTTTTGGAGAAAATGGCGAGAGTTTGCGCTTATGTCTGATGGTTCGGTAATGGTACGCTCGGTAATTGTCCGTTTGATAATTGTTCACTGATACCCCGAAAGCGGGGAATTATCAAGTGACTATATTTTTGATCCAAGAGCAACTCTCACCGTTAATTACATCTCATGTAATACATACTCCGAAAACGGGGAATTACCGAGTGTCCATATTCTAGATCCCAGAGTAACTCTCACCGTTAATTACACCTCATTCAAAAAATAATATAATATACCATCTTGGATCACCTCGTATACCAACACGTAAAATCTCCGTTGTCCTAAATCCAACAGAAAGATCGGCAAGGTTGCTCGGAAGTTAGATCGAATTGATTAACACGACAGAGAGACGATTGAAATCCCGTCGACGTGCCGGCTTCCTTATTGCTCACTCTTCCATCCGAACCGATCAGATTCGCTTTTATGTCGAACCAAATCACGGGCGAATCTCAAGTGGTAGGTACCATTTTCAGCGGCCTGTTCCTCTTACAGAGAACGCGTCTTATTCCGGCACGGGTACCGTGGCCTCAAACTTCTCTCAGTCAGAATAAAGTCTGCTGATCGGCAAGAAGAGCTTGAAGCGGTTTTAGAGGAGCGAGCGAGAAGGAACGCGAACAAAAAGCCCGGATACCGAAGCTATCGTTCAAGACGTCGAAGGTGGAAAGGTGACATGAACGAGAAAAGCGGAAACCCACTCGACTTAGGCACTTTGCTCTCCCCTTTACTCCTTTCTATCTTCTGTTTGCCTCTATTCTATCGTTCTTACCCACTCTTTTTCTGCCTCTCTTTTTCCCTATTTATTCTCCCTTTTTTTTACGATCGCTTCTATTGAAATGGCTAAATAGAAACACTTCTCTGCAGCGAGTTCTTTGGGTCGATTAGAAGATTTTTTGGGTTTTTGATTATTTGAGAATTTTTTATGAAGTCTTTGGTTTCTTTGTAAGTCAGATACAATTTAGTAATGTCAGATATGATGAAGAGACACTTGGAAATGTGGGAGTGTATGAAGTTGTCTTCATTTAATATTCGTCTCTTTATCTAAATTCTTGCAGTCGTATCTCTTCTTTTCAAGGTTGCTTCTTTCACGGGTGCCAGTGATTTACCCTTTCCCTGCATTTATCTAGCGATACCCTCACTATTTTCGCTTTCATCCCCTTATACCCCTATTTTTTCCCTTTTATTCCACATTTTGCTTTCTTGTACCAAGATCTCGTTCCTTTTTTCTTCATCTCCCTCTGTTTTCCAACTTCCACTATCCCCAATGTATTCTCCCTCTTTCCTTAGAAGCTTCAAGGAGGTGGTCCGATATCGCGGGAGTGCTTTAAGGAGCCCTGTGCTTTCAGTTCAATATTTGCATGGCTCCTGAGTTCACAAAAGAGAGAAATCTATCAATTCCTGTCTTCCGGTGGTGGTGGTGGTAGGTGGTTTCCTATCTTTTTCTCTCTTTCTGTTCTTCGTTCCTCCGTGGCCCCGGATGAAATCATTACCGTGCTGACGGGTATAAGAGGGTCGTCTTTTATGTATCGCTAGCAAAAGGATACCGACGCCATCTCTTCGCTTCTGGCAGTCTGCACGGTTTCCTTCGTCAAGCATCGACCATTGTGTATCGATCAAGCACGAGATGAGCCGTAAATCATGTTGCACAACATCACGCTTACACGTGACTAGGGATGTTTTCGTATAATATTCGAAAGCGTGCTGTTTACCACCTTTGTTATCTAGAACCTGATTCTATGGTGGTTTTTAACTTTTAAACATTTTTTGGTAACCTGCTTTCATTCTATAAATTCTCTGATTTTTTTAATGTATAATTTTCAAGATATCTTAATCCTTTGCACTCGAAGGTAATTTACAAACAGCAGCTTTAAAACTCTGTTAAAAAGTTAAATGAATTCTCTTGAGGTTATTATTTCTCTACTAATAATTTCTACTATTGTTTCACTATGTTTATACGTCACACTTGTCATATTAAAAAATGCTTGTTTCAAATTATTGTATTAAAAAAAATGGTGATTGAGAGTCACCTCTCAAGCGCGAAGGGTTAATATCTTATTAGTATCTTTAACAACAGAGTAGATTACAAAGTTATTGTAAATATTTCTCACAGAAATATTATGTGTTTGATAGTAGAGAAAGAAAAGGTAAGAAAGTAATCTTGTGCGAAGCTTTAATATATTCTCTTTACGACTTCTTTATTTCGCGTAGCAAATGAGAAGACTGTTGCCCCTATTGACCGAGCAACAAAACGTCGTAAATCATACGAGCCCCTTTCTTCGTACGTGACTAGATTTTTCGCCCCATTGTGCGTAATAAAGCACCGACGTTCTCCGGTCAATTCTATCAAGAACATCTTACACATATTTTTTCTATTTTTCGTAATTTAACTCTTTTATTTCGAAACACAAAGGGTTTACTCCAAGAAACTTGAAGAAGCAATGTTTCATGCAGGGATCACATATTCCTGGACAGGATATCATTTATCACCTCGCAGTTTTACTCTTAATCCCTGGCAACGTTTAACACGTTGAGCCTCAGAAGACGGACACGTTACCATGTTTCTGATAAATATTCCGTATTCAAGATCTCTCGATATTCCGCGCAATCATTCCCGGTTCAAATATCCCTCGTCAGGGGAATAAGTTTGTCCATTTCCAATCATGCTCCTTTAACGTTCCATTTGCAACGAGAAACTCGTTTCTTCTCTATCGTTGCATCGGAGATGCGAATGTTAAAATATTCGCAAATGAAAACGAACGAATCCGCGATTCGTCGTTACGAAGGCGCATTATGAGTCCGCACGAACCGCGAAATATTGCCATGCTTTTTACGTATCGGGCTGTACCGGCAATAAATACCGTATCTAGGATGCGCGAGTGCATTTAACGGTGTCTCATGAATAAAGCATAACCCACGGGGGATCCGTTGATTTTTCCCGCGTTGCCTGACTAAAAGACGCAACCTTTTTCATCTACAACTTGTCCCTCATTGTTGTATCTCTTATTCGCAACCTTATATTCGTGGTTGCACCACGCAGTCACTCTACCGCATCTCCAAAAGACTTCTCCCTTCTCTTGTTTCGCGTTTGCCAGCTGAAATACGATGTTGTAAAATTTTATCGTCCTCAGAAGTTTCTTAGCGTTCCCAGTTTGTCTCTGAATATAAACGAAACGGTCTCTCGGTCGCGCGGGGTTACACCTTCAACTTACTTTAATTTCCTTCGCTGAAACACCATCGTACCCTGTTCTCGTCTCGATAATAATTTTCTTCCCTGGAACCAGTTACACGCTGCCTTTTTTTAAAACAATTGTTACTGAGCGTACTTGGCGGATTCAATTGAAAACTTTAGCGAGAATCAAATTATTTTACGGCACGTGATGCTATGTCTGATAAAATGCAAACCCTGCGTGCTGTACTTTAGGATTTTCTGAATCAATGGTACTAATTCACAAACTTACATATTTTGAAATTCTGAAATTTGGTGATTATTAAATTCTGAGTTGTTGAATTTACGCACCATAATTCCACGGTCCGTAATTTCCATGCGCCGTATTTCTACGCCTCGAAATTTCTACGCGTCATAATTCCACGCTCCGTAATTTCCACGCGTTGAAATTTTCACGCGATGTATTTCTACGCGTCGAAATTTCTACGCGCCATAATTCCACGCTCTGTAATTTCCACGCGTCGAAATTTTCACGCGTTATATTTCTATGCGCCATAATTCCGCGCGGCGTAATTTCCATGCGCCATAATTCCACGCTCCGTAATTTCTACGCGCCATAATTCCACGCTCCGTAATTTCCGCGTGCCGTAATTCCCACGCGTTATAATTCCACGCTCCGTAATTTCCACACGTCCAAATTTCTACGCATTGTATTTCTACGCGTTGATATTTCTACGCGCCATAATTCCATATTTAAACTACTGAATATCGTGTTTCGACATCAATTCACTTTAATAGTTCAACATCGTAGATGTGTTAAATATTTTAGTATGATGACCTGTTCTACCTGTTACACAGTCATCTGCGTTAAAATAACTAATAAATAAATTATCTATTAAGTTGTGACCTATTGTCCCACAGAAAACAACAGTAATACACGTAGAATCGATCAAATTTAAGATTCAATAATTTTCACAGTAGTATGTAACTATAATAACCCGTTTTGAAAACTTCGTCGAGCCAATCCATTCCCAATGCACCGAGGTAGAACAGAATGGGAATGAAATCCAAGAGGCTGGAAGTAGACTTAAATTTCCATAAACGCATGAAATCGGACGTCCCCGAAACCAAATGTCTGGAATGTTTCCAGCAGATATCGCGCTTTTCAGGACACACTTGTCCGACCAGGCAAGAAATGGCACGGGGAAAAAGGGACGGGTACGGAAAAGAGTCGGTCATCGAGCATCGTGCCAAAACGAGTCCCTGTGAAACTCCCATAGGCGCCACTGTGTCGAGCATTCTGTTCGCATCCCTTGTATCTGAATCGCATTTATTTTACAACCGCGATCGAGAGGAATATCGATATATACGTGGCACAAATCAATACAGATGATATATTTCATAAAGACGAATAGATTGAAAATTTTGAAGCTTGAAAATCGAGGTTTTAGGAAATTTAGGAATTCGAAAATTGGGGCTCGACGATTGGCAGATTTGAGAAGCTGGGAATTGAGATACTTTGAAACGTGAAAATTTGTAAAATTGTAAATTTGAAAATTGAAAGAGTAGTAAACTTAACAATTTGTAAATTTGAAAATAGAAAGACTAGTAAATTAAAAAATTTGCAAATTTGAAAATAAAAAAAAAATTGTAAATCCAAAAATCGAGAAACCAAGTTTAAAAATTCGCAAACATACAAAGTTGAAAGCTAGAAAGTTTAAAAATTTGTAAATTCCGACCGTTCCTCAAAACGGAGGGCAAGTAACGCGTTGTATTTCACACAACGCTACATTCTTATGCAAAGTAAACTCGCCCTCTAGTATATACTTACGCAATGAATTCATCGAGATATTTTCCCCAATAATGGACTCTGGCGTGCTCTCGCTTTCTTTCTGTCTCTAGAAACCTCTTATCGTGTCAGTATTTTTTTCTCTCCTCAACTTCTTCCGCTTCAACCCTCCGCATCGATCACGTATTCCATTCTTTTTCTATCGCGTATACCCTTTGCACCCGTTATTAAAATTCCACGTTCGTCAACCATCCATATCGAATTACCTGTTACGACCACACAGTCTTTTGATTTCGCAGAATCCTCGCTTTCGTGTACTTGCATCCCTTGAACACAGTTTTATTGAAAATACAGGGTGTCTCACAATTAGTGGTCTTTGGAATGGGGGGTAGCCGATGTGATTCTGAAACTTCGTTTTTGGATTATTAAGGAATATAATTTTTCATTCCGTAATTTTCACGCGCCATAATTCCACGCGCCGTAATTTCCACGCGCTGTATTTTCACGCGCTGTAATTCCCAAGCGCCATAATTTCACGCGCCAAAATTTCTGCGCGCCGTAATTTTCACGCGCCATAACTCCACACTCCGTAATTTCCAAGTAATTTATATAAAGAAATATAAATATTTTTTGGCTCGGAGCTGTCGAACGCTTCGAACCTCATTTTTGTAAAGGGAAATCTTATTCAGAATCACGTCAGCAACCCGCCACTTCAGGGACCTAATTGTGAGATACCCTGTATAATTCCATGCTCCTATCATCGCTGTTATTTTTTTCGCCGTCTTTTTGATGCAGAAATGAAGGTCGTCTTTTTTCTAGAGGAAACTTGCGAGAAAGCGTGTCTATTTTTTCAGCGGAAGGCAGGGTGGGGTTGAAAGAAGGTCATGAGGACGTCAGGGCGAGGAGAGGTTTATTTGACGACTAAATTGTCCTGTTTGATGTCGGTGGCTTGGAACCTCCTCAAAGAACATCCACCGAGACGGGGGGATGAAACGGGAAATTTCACGTGGATTCTTCAGGAAGACGTAGCCACAATATGCGTTTATCGTCGGGAAGTTTCGACGTTTCGCGAAGGTGAAAATCTACCGTCATTCCTTTTGCGCGATCAAACGAGTTTCTCGCTTTTCCTCCGGAGTTATTGGGGGTGATTCGGGGTAACAGTTATGCTCGGTCGGGTTTCCTCGGTTTCGAGAAAATCCGATTTGTACGAATTTCTTGAGCCGGGCTGAAGAAGAAGTTCGTCGGCTTCGCTCGCGACGCTTTAGAGAGGCGCTAATGTCGTTAGAGAGAGGGACGAAAATATTTGAGCAAATTAAGCGCTTTCCGACCACTGAACTACGGTTGAGGATATGAAATTACTTGCGAGGAGGAAACTGTTTCACGTCTGGTTTCGTCGTTTCGAAGAACCTGAGTTTTGAAGGTCTATGAACGATGCTCTCTCGTCCTACCAGCCTCGTTATATTTCTCCTTCTTTTTCCCGGAAATTATTTAGCCTTTCAAACAGTTAATTAGATTTTTAGTCGGGCACTAATTATTTTTAAATTAGAACTTAGTGTTTAATTAAATTTTCTTTGATTAAATTTCAGTTTCCATGACGTCAAAGAGCTTTTTTAATCTCCTCTCGGAAGTTTCTTCGATGTATTCACCCTACTATCATAGATACAAAAATTCAACCATTCGCAGAAATTCCGCGCATCGTTAAGCACATTCCAACTTCACCGCGTGGAAATTATTTATTACGCCAAACCACTAATTCCACATGTTTCCAGATACGCGATAAAAACTTCTTTATCGTAGGCATTAGGAGAAAATTTCTCGGCGATATCCGTCTAAATGTTCCGTAACGAATGTAAAATTGTCGAGGAATCATGAATTTTGTTACCGACGATTCGAGATGCAAGAAATGAAAGAAACGCAAAATTGCATTCCCGTGGTCGACTCGGGTCAACGTTAAACCGTCGCGAAAACGCGATAACATAACATCCGGCTCGCACAAAGCAAATTGTAGAACGAGTTTCATTTCCCTTTGCAACAATCAGCTCGATCTGTTTACTGTTCCCGGAGGAAATCCGATTTCCTGATACGAATAGACAGATGTAACCGGGATAGGAGAAAGGTTACACGTTCGTTCGCCTCATCCATGAAGCCCGTTAACGTCCTTTTAACAGACAAAAGGTTCGTCTAACTCGCCTAACGACGTTAAGCCGTCGGGTAGACGTTATTCCTCATCGTTTATACAATGCAAAATTGTATACGTTTGACCTGAATTTCTGCGATACTAAATGTTATTAATTCCTTTTTTGCACACTTATTTGCGAGATACGAAATTTTTCGGATAAAATGTAGTCGGACATCCGTGATAAAAGGTGTACAAATTATACATATTTCTCTGTAATATGCAAATAAGTTTGAACCGGTGAGTTCGCGCGATATAAAAATTCACCGCATTAAATTGTAGCCGATCTACGGCCAGAAATATCTATTCCACTTCATAAACTTTCGAGCTTTACAAAATTTTTATAAAATTTCCAAGTTACGAAAATTCACAAAATATTTAAGCTCTCGCATTTACGAATTTATAAAATTTTTCCAGCTTGGAAAATAAATTCTCAGGAGATAAAATTGGAAGCTAACAAAAATTGTCCTCCAGGAGGAAATTTGTAGCGTTAACGTGTTCCTCGACTTAACGAGCGCTCTTTCGCCAAAGTACTCATTTAAAAGGATAATAAATACCGGCCTAATTCCTCGACGCTCGAAATATCATCACACTAGGTGGCAATAAATACTCCTTTTCCCTGGCATCTCGTAAAGCTTCTAAATTCCAGCGCCAAGCGAATGACTCTCGTCTGTCTGCGCGTCCCCATTTTGCATGTTTACGGGTCGCATAAGGGTCGTACTTCCGGTATATACCTGAGATTGTCTTGTACTCACCTCGCTCCATTTATTGGTCTCCCACATGGGGCAGGAGATGGTGTTACAAGTCTCTTGGTTCCGCGGCTTATGCGTGTTGCTGCATTTATGATCGGGTAGCTGCAATCATCAGACATTACGTGAGTATTCATACAAAAATTTATCGAATATGAGCTTATGGTTTCTTACACCTATTTACATTTTATGGACGAACGTTATTATTTGTTTATATTAAGTGTTGAAGGGATGTACTTTGAATAAAAAAAATTTTGGTAAAATAATTAATTATTTTCTTTTTATTTTTCCGACATACTGTGTATATGTTGTTTTGTTCACTTTCATGAATTTTGCAAAACATCCCCTATTATCGGCAAGCATGCGTTTGAAACCGGCATAGAAGAGGAAGAAGATTCGTGATGTCACGAGAGCGTATGTATACCGAATGTACATGTGTTCTTCGGGTACTCGTCTCGGATGAGAGGATTTTACGGTGGTTGACGGAGAACCGCGACCGACGACCCTTCCAGTTTAAACGAACCGAACTGGGTTAGGGTTCGTGGGTTCTGCGAGGTTGTCGTAGGCCCCGGTCGTATATGTATCTGTAGGACGGTTCTAGAGACACGAGTGCATCGCAAAGTCTCAAAGTCGAAGGAAATTATTAACCCATTTATGCAACGACGTAACCGTGTAAATTTGCTCGTTCGTCGTTAATGTGCGAAAATTTCTGTTAAAAGAGAACCGAGTCTTTTCGAGCTTCGTGAAATATATACTCGGGAAAGACTGTTTTTTCGTAAATGAAACGGGGTAGGTATTGTTTCGTAAACGTATTTTTGCCTCGAGTTACGGCCGCCATTTTCTGAAACTGCTTCGTATGATACATAATACTGTATCGAACAGTGATATAAAGTTGAGTGGCAATGTTCTTTTATTTCTCCTTGAAAGGAAATCGAGAAACAATTTTCAACGAGTGGAGGTGTGTGTTTATTATCGAAACGCTGTCATTAAAATTCAAGGATGTGTACTTAAGTTATATGTTTTATTGATTACCTTGGTAGTCTCGTTGCCACTTTCTTCGGTGCAGAAAACTGTTCTGGTCCTCGAACCACCTCCGCAGCTGGCACTACACATGCTCCAATCACCAGCCACCCATCTATAACCATAAACATACGAATAAAATGCAAACTGGTAAATAATAGTATACGTTAAATATACTACATGTATATACTAGTAATAGTACATGTTAAATATACTATTATATTTAATAATAAATATCAGTAAAATTTCGAATTTATCCTAAAACCACCGTTTCTGATAGATCCGATATTAGCATTTCCCTCGACGCAAAATCATGTATTTTGACAGACTAATTGCAGATATTTTCAAATCTGCACGCTCCAGAAATCCAAATTACACGGATACTGGGAGAATCACGAAACCGCTCAAAAGGGTTCGGAACCACGAATTAAAATCGAGAGCGTTCCTTTCATCGAGACTCTCTTCAGCCTGAAGCCATCTTTGGTAGCGCGATCAGATTCCCAGATTTTTATCATCGAAAAAGCACTCGTACAATTTTACATCAAAGGCAATACCACTCTTGACTTACGTTTGAAAATTCGAATTTTTAACAGGTGGATGTTCAATTTTTTATTTATTTTGTATAAATGAAATTGAAGATTTCTCAAACTTTCAATTATCATTGATCTTACAATATATTATTTTTACTCCTCTACTTTCGAAAAGCGATAATCAGTTTTATACAATAATTATAAATAAATATTTTTCAACTAAATTTATACTGTAAACTATGTTATATAAGTGATGTTTAAATACAGATAACAATGGCAATTAATAATAAAAAAATAACAACCAAAAAATTCATCAAACATTTCATCTAAAAAGTTTCCGATTTGCAATCCATCAACGACAAAAATGGTTTAAAGTGCAAAGGGTTGATACTGTAATTAAAATTGTCAAGTATCAGAACTCTGAAACAACGGAGACTTTTTCAATTTCCCTCGCATTTTGTTATTTGTCAGGCGAAAGTGTTTGCGGGTCGTCAGACGAGTCGATCGATCGGATGGTAGCTCGAAACTTTTGCTGGTTGCCCGTTGTTCTCGTGCCCGTGTAACACGTGTAGGGGTGTCTCGATACGTCCGGCCAGTGTGCCGATTATTTTCCTCCCCGTTGTCCCGGTGTAAAAGCCACCCTAATGGCAGGAAAGCAGACGCTCAATGGCCGTGTCCCGTTCGATGAACTCCATCCGTTCCTATTCTCTTCTACTCACAGCAATTTTTTCGCGGAGGCTCATTTGCTGCACAAGATAATTGGGATAGATCGATCTGACGGTAAAAATTTTGCTGCACGAAACGCGGAGAACTTTAAATTAAACTGGGTATCATAACAACAGCGTTGTCTTTAAAAGATTACAAAAGAATATAAAGTTGAATATTTTCACTTCTGTTATCAATGCGTGGTAATTCGACGCGTGGTAATTCGGTGCGTAGAGATTCGACGCGTGGTGACTCGACGCTTGGTAATTCCACGTATGGTAATTCGGCGCGTAGAGATTCGACGCGTGGTAATTCGATACGTGGTAATTCGACACGTGGTAATTCGATACATGGTAATTCGATACGTGGTAATTCGACGTGTGGTAATTCAAAATTTCCATTTTCAGTGTACTTCGAGTGATCTGTCCTTATGTGATCCTTGGGTTATGAATTATATGGCGAGCTGAGAGTACAGTCGGTTCGACGATCGATCTCTCGAGCCGGATCGCGAGATTAATCGTCAAATGTCCCGGAAAACGCTTAATAGAATTTAATTGAGCCTGTATCCGTGACACGACACGGAATAATAGCCGGTGAAGTATTCAGTAGCTTAATACACAGTTGCGGGTAGGCGGCGGTTTAGGAATCCCTGTACTCCTGGGGGATATGGCTGAAACGCGTCGACCACTTGGCCAAACCCGAACCGAATTAAACTAAATTCTCGACCTGGCCAATTAGCACCAATTTAACGTTGACGAGGCCCCACTCCACGGCCTGAGATTTATTAATCACCGGCACCGTAGTAGTCGTTAACCTAGCAATCGTTACGTTCAAATTTCTCCTTTTTCCCCTTTTTACCTTTTACAGAGTCGAAACGCCACCGATCGATCGCGTTCCTTCGTTTTTGCAGCACAAATATTCGTGATTAACGAAGAACGTCGGTCGTTAAATTATTCATGGTCCAATTACGACGATTGTGCCAGTGTAACCTTATTTCGCTCGGCGTATTTTTTTCTTATCGAGTACTTTGAGTCCTTCGGTATGACTCTTTCCCTTGCTACTTTATCGGAGAGCCAACAGGACTCTCCGGTGACATTTTCGAAATGAGATTCCGAGATGACGTTCGAGAACTGTTTAACCTTTCGCAGTTCTCTGTTGCAAAGGTTTAAGTAATTAATTAGGTCCTCGATTCGATTGGACGCCAATTAAAATTGGCATTTTATTCATTATCAAATCAAGAATTAAATTATAACTACTGATTGCATGATTCTATAATTCAAAGTTAATGTAGGCATTTTAATGAGATGTGAAATTAAAGATTGTATCGACAGATCATGTTTAATTGAAGTCTTCCTGATTAAGAATAACAATTTAATTTCCGATTCCATCGTGCTTAATCTATTTTCATACACAATTTATACAATTGAATCACATACATATTATCCGGTATAATAAATATAAACAAATATCGAAAGATAAATATTCTCTTATAAAAACAAGACATTCGAACGAACGCTGATAGAGTTTATGTGGAGTGGTCAGACAAACAGACAGAATAAACTGGTGAAACCGAAAGTCAAATTTAGCGAAGATAAACGTCGATCGAGGATCGTTTCGTGGACATCGAACCATAATCTCGATCACAATGGAACAGGTTCAATATACATGCGCCTCTGCACGGTCTCAACGACGTGCTATGTTTTCAAGCGCGGCTGTATATTCGGTAAGAATGGTTCACGGCGAGTTTTTGTCCAAACTTCGTCGCCGACATAATGTCTGCTCGTCCGTGGAACGATTCTCATCGGGAGCGAGCTTTAAAGCGTCTCTTTTTATCCCTCTTTTCCTTTATCCGGACAAAGAACGAGCCATATCGTTTCGAGAACTAAGATTGTTTCTTCGAAAAAATATCCTCGGGACGTTTCCTTTCCATTTCGTTATTCCGTCCGATCGTTACGCTTTATCGCCAACAGACTAGTACAGGAATATTCGTGATAAAGGTAAAAAGTGATTTTGCTTTTGAGTGGTTTACTTTTTTGTTGATTCGAATGGTAATGTGTGCGAGGTGACTCGGTGCGTGAGGATTTAATTAGGGGCGATGTACTGTGCGTGGTGATTCCACGCGTGGAGATCCAATGCGTGGTAATTCGACGCGTAGTAATTCAACGCGTGATGATTCGACGTATGGTGATTCGATGCGTGATAATTCAACGCGTGGTAATCCGACGCGTGGTAATTCAACGCGTGGTATTTCCACGCGTGGAGATCCAATGCGTTGTAATTCGACGCGTGGTAATTCAACGCGTGGTGATTCGGCGCGTGGTAATTCGATACGTGGTAATTCGACGCGTTGTAATCCGACGCGTGGTAATTCGCCGGGTGGTAATTCGATGCGTGGTAATTCGACGCGTGGTAACCTCCTCTATGAACCACACAACGAACAATTTTCACGATAGAACAATACAAGTAGTTACAATGCGTCCGTCTATTACAGTCAATGTCACATGACGAAGAAATAACCTTATTGCACACAGAAAGGATTCTGCAGATCCAGAATCTTATTCCCCATCGCCGATAAATTATCACGAATTTCAGTATTACGGGAGCAGTACAAGGCTGAAAACATGTACACCGTAGTAACGGAGAATAAAGTGTCTTGTATCTTCTTTACTCGGGTCGTATAGTCGGACTGCAACGGCGTAACAAACATCTTCTCGAAGCAGTCAGTTGTTTCGAGCGAGCATAAAAGTCGAATTCCTTTAAATAACTTTTTCACTGGACCTTGACAAGATCCAAAGATACTTTAACTTGGCAGTGGTAGGTATTTTATGGGTGACATATCTGGCGAAGTTACTCTCGCGATCGTTCTGATCGTACCCAGCGAAGAAGAACAAAAGAAGAAGAATTTATCCGTGAGTCCAAAGAAAAAAACAGACGTATCACTGAACGAATTGTTTGTCCAAGAGTCAGTCAGCGCATTCTCGTATCTTCGGGCTGTTCGAGCATGTTTTTTCGGTAACGTTTTCTTCGCGAATCGACGTCGCGATAAAAAATGAAAAATGCTCGATGAGGAGCGACGCCCTCGGATGAAGGATCGAGGGTAAGAGCGCGAATGGTGGTTGATGCAACCGTTTCCTGGATGCTTTTTACCGGGGGCTTAATGAAGAACGACGAGCGAGAGGAAAATGATGTTGAAATTTCGATAAAGGCAGAGAATAACACGATAACGGAATCGATATGCGATTCCCATTCCACGATTAATTGATATTCGATATCTTTATGTAGAACGTGCATCAGCAGATTTTAATAGGAATGTTTTTTTTTTAAGTAAAAACAAGCTATTGATTTTTAAGTGATTAGGAAGATATCTTGGTGTGTCGTTTGTTTTTTGATTACAATTTGAAAGGTGTAGGAGGAAATTATGTTTGGGAGTGTTTCAGATGTAGTTTCTAAATTACCACGCGTTGAATTACCACGTATCGGAATACCACGCGTCGAATTACCACGCGTCGAATTACCACGCGTCGAAT